GTGTGTGTGTGTGTGTGTGTGTGTGTGTGTGTGTGTGTGTGTGTGTGGGTGGGTGTGGGTGGAGGGGTAGACACCAGCTCAGTCTTGGGGACTGCCAGGCTGTTGTCATGGAGACCAGAGGCCACAGGTGACCTCTGACCTGAGGACTCATGGAGCGATGCAGGAAGAGTCCTTTGAGTGTGGTGGTTGGGGTGGTTGTGGGTGTGCGTGCTGACGCAAGTGAAGGAGCAGGTCTGACAATAGATGTGCGAGCTGTTGTTGGACACTGCGTGGTAACCATTCCTGTAATTTAGGAATGGACTATAGAAGGCAAACTTGTGATAGCGGGGTGATATAATGGTGGTGTGAAGTGTATGACGGATCACTGACAGCTTAAGTACTGTTTAGGGTTCCAGTCACCGCACAAAACTGCATTTCTGCATCTCATCAGGCCCACTTCTTTATGACACAGAGGTGACTGAGTGATGAGATTTTGCAAGCAGCTCTCCTTTATCATCAACTGGAAAAGAAACCAAAAAATAGTGCAGTGTTAGCTAGAATTGTGTGAGGACAGGATTGACTGCAAGATGACGACTTGGTTGCATTTTTGTCACTTAAAAATCTTGTGATCATCTTTAAGACATTAAGAGAATACAATTTTAAATCCTTTCAAATATGTGACACTGATTATTGCCACATTATCGCCATGGAACTATTTGATCAAAAGTATCATGATGCTGGATTTTGTCAGTATCACAAAACCCATCTGTCAGCTGAAAGCTCATTGGGAGATTTCTCACGACAATCTATTGGCGCAGTCTGTCTCCTGGCTGCTCTTGTCTCTGCAGAATCAGCCAGACAGCTGATGTGATGTCTTCGTTCAGCTGTTTTAGCTCCCAGGGGGTTGACACTCCCCTGAGTGTGTGTGTGTGTGTGTCTCCTTAAAACACTGGCAGCTGATGAAACACTAATTCTGCTGATCGGTCAGATGTCTGCTGACCATTTGCTTCTTGTTCAGGAAGTTTGAACAAACTCCACGCCTCCGTATTCCCACAGTACGATGTTAGTCCTGCTGTAAATCTTGAATACAAATGCAACTAAATCCAACAAATCCAACATCACCACTGTGAACTCCAGCACAATACACTGTAAGGCTTTTCCCCTCCGTGTAGCGTGTAAGTGCATAGCAGGTCAGTCATGCATACGACAGTCTAGCAGATGGTGGAGCGAGGAGAGCTCAGTCATAATGGCACAGTGTTGGTAGAGATTTCCCCCTGAGGCCAGCCAGCTAATCAAACACTAATCAGCCCTTCTTCTTCTACATCGGTCTGTGTCTACTCTTCATCTCAGTTTCCTCAGATTATCCTCTACTTTCTCCCCATTTCCTCTCTGTTTGCTGCTAATCTGGGGCTCGTCCTATCATCCTATTCTCTCCCTCCTGTGTGCACTCAGCTCATGGACTCTTTATAGAAAAAAGACCATGCCTGATCACGCTGAGGAGAAAGTGTCGTGGTCTTACTATTAGAGCTTTCACTCCTCGGTCATCCCACTGCCTGATCCTCTCTCTGGGCCGTCTGTCGCTGCAATTAAAGCCTGACTGGATTAAGATTTACTGTGTGCAGGGCCACTGTTGTAAGGCGGTTTAGCGCAAAGCTAACACAGTAAATGGTAATAGTTTGCATGACATTGCTTGTTAAAAAAATCAAAAAGAAAGTGTCCATCGAAGTGACTGCCTGAAAATGTATCTCCTATGTAATTCTGCACTACATAATAGTTGTTTAACCACATGAACTAACCGGTCAAACTTGCGGTTATCCTCAGTCGTGAGTCCTCAGTAAAACATTGATTTATTTTGCACAAATTCCGGCGGGGTCAAGTCGTAGGGCTCACAGGCTTAAATTATTTTCCAAGTGCCAATACAGAGAACACACCCAAGTTAATCATTATCCCCAAGTGACAGGTGTTTCCTTAGCTTGAGATTGATCTTTCAAAGTATGTTGCCATTCCTGACTTTTCCTCTTGACGGATTTTAAACTAGATTATAATTAACAAATTCAATTAAACTACTTCTCCTTGAGACACATTAAAGCTGGGGGATTGCTCAGTTCACTATGTGTAATGTGAATGAAGTTGCTTGTAATGATGAAGAGTCATCACCGAGCTCTGCAGTTCTCTTCAGCTCTGCGGAGCTTTTCAGCATCTTTCAGCTTTCAGGTTTTGGTTTTGTCAGGCAGCGTTTTCATCAAAATACTCTAAACACCCAGTGTATGGTACCGGCCCAGCTCCCAATGGCAGACCAAGTTAGAGACTAGTGAACATAGTGCAGCATTTATTTCCCTCAAGGGTTGGAGGAGACCAAACCAGAGCCAAAAGGAGAGTCACTATTGAACTGTTTGATAACAAGTTTGCAATAATATGGTGATAATATCTCAGTGTTGGTGTTTTCAGCTTGTTCCCTTGTTCCCTAAGGGTCCAAATAAAATGACATCTACAAGCACCTAAGTATACATTTTGTGGAGTACTTTTAACATCCGTGAGTCATAGTTGTCAATGTCAAGTCCTATCGGTGTCCCTGTCTTAAGAAGCAGAAGGTAAGGCATGTTAAGGCAGGAAAACCAAATCTACATACGATCCGAAGATAACACCTGGAATGCAAACATCACAGACGCATAGGGGACACCGTGCAGGCGTCTAAGCCAACGTGGGAGTTTTACTTTGGCAACAAACTGGGATGTCTGATGTAGATACATCTTCTCTACTTTCTTTGTCTACTCCAAAGGGATCACATATTTCTCCAGACACTTTAAATACACAGCCTCCATTCACTTTCCGCAAACATCATACCTGCTGTCTGCTACGTGAATGAGATGACCATTGTGATCGTGTAGCCATACCTGTGATTTCTCTATTCATTTTTAGAAGAAGGTTATAGATGAAGCCACACGGTCTGCCAGAAAACAAGTAACTTTTGAATACTTTTCACAACACTCATGGAAAATCCGCAACATCACAGACTTATGATAAATAAGTTCAGCGTGACTTTGCATTGCTGCATTTGGCACAAAGAGGAGCTAGCAAAGTGGCCTCCATCAAAATCTCTTCTGCTGCCAGATAAACCTGGCATGATTTCACGTTTAATCACATAAGTGTACTGTGTCCAGTATTTCCTTGGTTATTACTGTCTGCGTGGTTGGTTGACCTGTCACCTGACTGCTGAACAATAGTTTTATCCTCATGGGACAAGCGGGACCCCCTGACCTTCAGAGGGGAGAGGTCTGCGAGTGTAGGAGGGTGGACGGACCACATGCTGTGACCTTTGTTTTCTAAATGTCACCAATTCAGACGGAAATAGCCGCTAACTCTGGCGGCTTCACATTCTGGGACTATTGTCTTGTTAACGATGTAGCCTCTTTTCCCCGTGAGTCAGCCCAGCTTCAACGTTTCCTCGTGTTTTTATTGATCCGGTTTATCTCCCAGAGAGGAGCGCATGCACTCACCTGCCTTCTATAGATATCAGCAGCAGTAATAGCTACGCTGTGTTTGTGTGTGTTGGGATGAATTGTGTGCACGCGGAGTACTTGGCCCTTGTCTCTTTGATTTAGTCTGAAGAGTTGTAGCATTGCAGAACACAAGGCCACGAGTCGAAGCCCTCCTCTGCAAGTGGGCATTGTTGTTTATTTATATCAGCGAGTACCAGTCGTCGAGGCGGCCGCAGCTCTGTTCTCTCTAACAGCATTTCAGTTTGCTGTCACATCCTGTTCTTTTACAGGAAATCAATACGGTGGATTTAAAGGTTACATTTAGTTGCCATGACCTGCGCATGTCTCACTCAGGTCACACTGGCAGTAAAGTGGACTCGCTGGCACTGTCCTTATACCTTGTCTTGTTTTTTTAAGGAATTAGTTTGACATTTTGGAAAATACACGTCTTCATTTTCTTGCTGAGATAGATTAGAAGATCAATATACCACTTGTATTTGTTCGTTACGTATGAATATACAGCCAGCAGTTGGTTAGCTTAGCTTAGCTTAGCTTAGCGCAAAGACTGGAAACAGGTGGAAACAGATATCAGGCTGTGTTCGAAGATAACAACATCTGTCTTGTTGTTTTTAACTTCGGATTTGGTACAAATTAAATAAGCATGTTAACTAATTAGCTTCAGCGTTGCTGTTAAGTGGATTTTTTTACCCACAGACTAGAGTTTAGCTGTTTCCTGATGTTTCCAGTCCTTGCGCTAAGCTAACTCAAGCTAAGCTAAACATATGCTTCAGATTTACTGTCATAAGTGTTTTCATCTAACTCTTACAGGCAAACTAAAAAGCACATTTTCCAAAATGTCAAACTACTCCTTTAATTTTATTTGTTCATGTGAAATCTGTCCATGCACAATTACATACTCCCGCTATCTTCTTCTAAATCCTTACTGGCAGATTTTCAAAATGTCATATCGTGTTTTTTCTAAAAGAACTGACACACCGAGCTCAAGATAATGTCATTTCTTGATTCATTTCTAAGAGCCAGACATCCAGCACGCCTCCCATAGCTGCTTCCTGTAATGTTATTGTCCAGAAGAACTTAGGCAGAGGAAATGAGTCTCGCTTGGGTTGTTGTCTTGTTTAGTTGTCTGGTCAGACAGGTACAGTATCTGTAAGCAGGCCCTGACTCGTCCCTCTCTGTTGTTTTCTGCCTCACATTTCCATCCATGCATCTCCACATTCCTGTTCTATCTTTGCTCTGTCCTTCCTCCTGCTGCTGCCATTTTTCCATCCCCACTTGCAACTGAAAATCTGTGGAATCTCAGACTGGATATGCCTGCGGGGCCCAAAGGTAATGACAGGGGTACCGTAAGCGGCACCTGCTCAAGTGTTGGACTGATCTGCCTATAGCTTTGATGGGGTTATCCCGTCCTTTCATTTTTCAGCTGATTTTCTTCAAATTGCACTCGGCGGGGCCCCACAAAACATTACATTCTTGCTCTGGAATGCCTCTAATAGCGTGCCAATCGCTACATTGTGCATCTCTGGTTGGCAAGGTGCTTTATTAGCTGGGATTCCTGTGTGCCCACCTATCGGTGCCAGCTTTAAGAAGATACCTCCTTCACTCCCCTCAGCTCGGCGGCCTACATCGCATGGCGAAGAAAGGAGTCACTCTCTCCCGGCTAAGGAGCAGAGAACAATGTCCTCTCTTTTCTCCACCCCTCAGATGCAAGCGACTCCAGTTTGAGTTATGTAACTTGATACGTTGCAGAACCCATCCACTAACCCAGCCTCAAGAAGGGGGACTTACACTCAGACTATTGTCCAGACGGTCCACGCTGAGACAACCCCCACATGTTCTCATTTTCCATTCCTTCCTCATCTGCACTCTCTCATTTTTTCCAACCCTCATCCCTCTTTCTCTGTGTTCCTGCTGTCTGCCTTTTGACCTAATTCTGATCCCTCATTATTGTCTTATTATCCGTGAGCAAACAAGGCAGATTGTATTATTGGTATTTGTCCAGTGAAGCTGGCTCTCGTATGTCAATGCAGGCTCTGGATTGACCACCTCAAAGCTGGTTCACATGCGGGGCTTTTGTTTGTGTAACTGGGAGAACAAGTCCAACCACACCGGCCCCTGAGAGGGCTGAAAGAGCACAAAGAGATGAGCAGGTGAGGAGGGGAAGAGGAGGAAAGGGGATAGGGTGTAGAGTGGGCAGGAAAGTACCAGGTTCTCTCAGGGGAGTCGAAACTGGCGTATAGCTGCTGCAGAGGTCGACCTAAATATTTCTCCCTGTTTCAGACAGCTTAAGATCAACTTCGTCTTCTATTTAGATCAGTGCAAAGTCATCTTGTCGTGGCCTGCAGGTCAGCTGTTACGACCGGGCAGCTCCCTCCCATCCGCACCTCCCAACCAGCATCACAGACTGAGAAACAGGAAGTCATAATCATGGTGTGATAATCAGCAGCGCGGGCATGAGACAGAAAGAGAGAGAAATAGAGTGAGCATGGGATCAGGAGCAGAGAAGTGAAGCTTCAGGTGGACAAACAGACAGGTAAATAAGTGACTTTTTTATCTCTGTTATTTGGGATTTTTATTTACTTAGAAAAGGTCTTATGATACTGAAAGTACCTGAACTCTACAGTCTACTGTGTCATACTGGGCTTCAGATCAAAGCAAAAACTCGGCTCACCTGTGTGTGTGTGTGTGTGTGTGTGTGTGTGTGTGTGTGTGTGCATATTTTAGACATTCCTGAGCTTGCTGCTGCGAAAGTTTGACTTATTTACATGGCAGCCGGCTCAACGCGCTCTGAACTCACTGTGATTTAAGGCTGCATTGTCAAAAGAGCAGCTTGAGCTGCAGAGAGAAGAGGAAAGCAGCCTGATTGTTAATTACTCATCCCACGGGGTTGAATTGGAATTAACTAATTTTTAACTAGGTATTTTCTCCTGGGCGAATTACATCACACTGAGCCTCATTCTCCCCATTCACTTCCAGCAGCACAGAACCAATATGCTAATTAACTGTTAATTATTGTATGTCCCAAAAATGGAGCCACATGGTGTTCAAAGAACAGTATATATGATTATCTGCTCCACTGAGCTGTGCAGCATGATTTCCTGAAAATAAAACTCTTTTCATTTAGTTCTTGTTGGGTTTTTTTGGTGATTGTCGGTCTGATGGTCTATTTGTGTTCCCGGAATTCCCCCTGAGGACTATTCGTGGCTCAATGTTGTACCCAAGCTGGGTAACAAGATGTTCCTATTGAATTGTGTAACTGGAGGCAAAGCGGCACAAGGTGACATTCTCCTCATGACGACGTGTAACTGTTGTTTCTTGTTGCTTTGCCGTCATTGTTAACAGTAAAGCTCTGACCTGTGCCGGCTGAACAAGCTGATTTTCCGTCGTGCCCACTCTGCTGCTTCTCAGCACTAACACACAACAAACATTCACTTTATTTACAGACAAACTCCACAGGAGGAAAAAGTGCTGATCCTCTGACTTGGCATCAGCATGAGTCAGCATCAGTGTTTACTACCTGACACGCAGGCTGCTCCGCTCTTCCTCTGGTGTTACAGTGCAGATGAGATCAAAGAAAAAGTGTGCTGGGATGTGATCTGGAAAACTTTTTATCTATGCGGCTTATTGAAGGCTTAAATATGAAAGAATTAACATTTAAAGCAGTCATACTGTGAGTCAATCCATATCTGTGTATTCCTCTCAATCCCAATCAATTTCTCAGCTGCAGTCCACACGTTTCCCTCTTTGTGTTTGCGCTGCGTGTGTGGTCTACCACTGGGGGTGTTTGGATGGATGCACGCACGCTCACCGCAGCTGCTAAGTGGAATTGGTTCAGGTGTGGGTCGATGTGGGAACCACTCGATTTCTATCTCTGTAATCACAGAACGGTGGTGACTCCTACATGAACCGCTCCAGGAAACAAAGGAGCCACAGAGAGAAAAGAGCCTCTGCTCACGTCTCCCACTATCCTCCTCGCTCTAATGGATTTAATAAGAAGCTGGCTCTCGAGCTTTTGTCTTTATCAGCTCAATTTAACACAGTATGACTCCCCCGCTCTGATTACGTGGTAGAATTATCAGTCATTAAATGTCTGATGTTACCAATTTAGCTCTCATGGGAATTAAGGAGCTTTGGGTAACAGACATTTTATTTTTTTAAGTAACCCACAACACAGCAGAGAAACAGGCCCCTGTCCTATCACCATATCAGCTTTATAGGTTCTGTGAAGGCACATTAATAATTACCTGGTGAAAAATGTAGGGAATGTGAGTTTGTTTCCTCACATCGTTCTCTCCCTTCACATTCTTCCCTCTGAACTTGTGCTCTGTGTCGAACATGCTCTGCTGATAGCAGCGGTTGGCAAACATTGTACAGGCTTTGCTTGTTAACAAGTTGAACAGAAACCAACAGAGAGGCTCAAACTGGTTTCAGGAAATGACGTGCCAGTCTGTTGTTTGCTTTCTCACAAATTCTGATGAAGTTATTGAGGAAATATTTCTGTATGGTGCTGCTTTTGTACTCCTTCTTTTATCCGGCGTGATATATTGCCGGTGGAATCGGGCGAGTAGATGATATGGAAAAAATCTGGAGGAATATTCATCTCAGCACTGTAATACTCTCAAAACAAGTAGGCATGTTAGTTGGTGAAGATGTATCATCGTCCCTACTAGCTTCAGGGAATGCCACTCAGACACAAGTCAGCAGATGTTGATACATTTTACATCTGCAGTCCATCACTTTTAAAGTATACTAAATGTCTTAAGCACAGGACATTGCTGGGTTTTTTTTCGAATCCATATTTCTCTCTTTTTCATTAGGAGCTCTGTCACTGTCAGCAACCCCAGCTGACAAAAGAACACCATGAACTTGAATCTTTACTTATAGACTGATGACTAACTGCTATACAAGATCAATACTGCCTCTTTATTGCCATGTCTTCATCAACTGGTGAGAATGCTGACTTTTTGCTTGGGACCGGTTAGCTTTAGCCTCAGCAGCACACTATCATGTATGCAGCTAGCTATCTAGACCGTGTAACATTAGCTCATGAGTCAGTCAGAGACGGTGTTTTGAAGCAAGTCATGGTGCTAGCATTAGGTAGCTTGCTAGCAACAGCTGCTAAAATCCGCTAGTGACAGTCGGCATTATCGAGAGTATTCCAGAAATAAGAGGCTGCTTTTGTCTGGCCGACATCAAGGACCTGTTGTTTCACTCAAGACTTTTGAGGGGTAGCAGCAAACCAAGAGGTGTCAATCTGCAGTCTCGCAGACACACTTAACTACACAACACGCTACGAGAGATTCTGAGCCTAAACATAACCGAACTGCGACCGCTTCAAAGGCAGATAGACCTGCTTGAGTGAACCTGCCACCACTATAATTGTATAATTGTATATTTGCCATGCAAAATTAGAAAGGTTGACAGGCGCAGCAACAATAACTAAGGTGGGCAGAATTTAGCTAATGGGCAATTTGATTGTTTCTGAGATAATTCCTCCAGAAACAATCAAATTACCTGGAGATAATTCAGTTCAACCCCCAGATTACTCATGCAGGACTCACTATTTCATGTGATGGTAGAACCGATGGACATATAAAATTAGAAATTCGATTTTAGTGAAGGACCACAGTTTGTTTTAAATCATATTTGTCTTTATCAGATTCTAGTTGCAGATGTATTCAGTTAGGATGTTGTTTTTACCACTCTGGGTAATTGGTAGATTAGTAGTGTATGTGGGCGTGTGTGTGTGTGTGTGTGTGTGTGTGTTTGTGTGTGTGTGTGTGTGTGTGGGATGAGTGAAGGGCAAGTGGATGTCACTTAAAACAACACTGAGGTCAGCTACTTATCCATTTGCCGCTAGTACTAATCTCTCTTTATCTCACACACACCCATATGGTTTAACCTTGTAACCAACACAGGCATTCATCTAAACAAAGTTAGGGATAATGCAATCAATCATTTTTAACAAAGCAGGCTCTTTGTACTGTTGGGAGGGAAGCGGTTGTTGTTGAGTAAATGTTCCCATAAATAATAATAATAATACATTTGGATGTAAGAGGCGGCCCTGTGAATACACTCCCTCGGGTGCCATCTTCTCGCGCTGAAGCAGCCTGCTTTTTCATCAGTCAGATCCAGATCAATAAGGTTCCATGAAACACCAGTTCAACCAGTCCCCCCAGATAACCCAACATTGGTACTATAGACAGAGCCAGTAATTGAATTCCGTGGTAGAAATACAATACCGGAAAGTCAGCAGAGGCAGTTAAGGCCAAGGCGCACTGTACGGACCGCCATCGATGGGATAGATGCAGCGTGAGGAGACCCACCTCAGCTGGTCCGCCTCAGAGGAAGTGTTGTTTGCTGATTTCGTGCATTGAGTCCAGGTTAAAGTCCAGCCAGTCATGATAAGTATGATGAGAGTTTTGGGTTTTCAAGGTTTTCTCTTCTGGGTCAGTAATAAGGGAGGCCGCTGTGGAAATCATTAATGAGAGTTAGTTTGATAGCATCTTCTCTACTGGAGAAGGAACCAGCTCAAATCAGACGAAAATGTTTAATATAAATATTAAGAAAAGATAATGAGACGGATGACAGGCATGGCAGCATTTGATGAGGACGGATTTGAATTGGTCCAACATACTGTAAATATACTTGATTCACTGGAAACTACGACCCGCAGCATATTTTTACACATCAGGTCTATTTTCATCTGTTTTTCGCACTACAGTGAAAGAGTGTTGTTGTGTGGACACTGTGTTAAACTTAAGATTATATGTATATATGTGTGTATGTAAAGCTGTTAAGCGACTACACTTGTACTGAGACTCTTATTATATCAGTAAAAGTAAAATATTGCTTCAAAAAAGCATATTAGTGCATCACACAGTGCCGGCCAAATAGTTGGGCTCATATGTCATTCATAATCATGAGCTCATCATGAGTTGTATACAATGGTATAGTATGGTACACAAGCTGCTCCGGTGTTCCCTTGAACGTGGCACTCCTCCCCCTGTCAGAACTCATTGAATAAAACGTCTGTGTCTGCTCTGAACTGTGTGGGCTCAATAGCGCCCTGTATCTATACTTCCATGACCAAATATGACCCGTTAACCTCTGTAAAGACTCAAGTGTTGCTCATCAATGGAGCGAGTGTGAGCCCGAACACTGGGCCTTCAGCTCTCGCACCGCCACATCTAACCGCCAGTGAATTATGTCCCATGTTTCCCACAGAGAGACTGCTCATCATCTCAAGTGCCGTGAAGTGAAAGTCAACCTTTTTACGCAAAGTTATTGAGAGAGAGAAGAAAGACAGAGAGCTTTGGGCATTTGACTACATTTCCATGTCTGCATGTAGCTTGTCAGATTTTACAGGTGTAACATCCAAACTGCCTTCAGACGCAAAAAAGGGAAGGAACGACCCGGCTTTTCAGCATCTGGGCTCCCCTGAAAGGCCTCGGGGTGCGTGGAGAAGAACAAGGTCTGTCTGCCATCCATAATGAATAACCTGCTAACAATTAGAGGCCGCTGCTGAGCACT